CTCAAATTCCAGACCATCACTTCTCAACATGATTATTTCAGTATCCTCCTCAACCTCCTTGCTATGCTCTTGTTCTAGTCTTTTCTCCATCCAACAAAATGAGTAGCCCCTTTAAAATGCAAGTTGAGCCCTGGCTGGTGTGGCTCAGTGATTAGAACATCAGCCAACACACCAAATGGTCGTGGGTTCAATGCCCAGTCAAGGGCATGTACCTGGGTTGCAGATCTGATCCCCAGACCCAGCAGGGGTGCGTGCAGAATGTAGCCAATCCATCCATGTGTCTCTTACATCTCTTTCTCTCTCTCTCTCTCTCTCTCTCTCTCTCTCTTCCCCTCCCTCCCTCCCTCCCTCCCTCCTTCCCTCCCTCCCTTCCACTTGCTCTAAAAATAAATGGAAAAATATCCTTGGGTGAGGATTAACAAAAAAAATAAAAATAAAAAATAAAATAAAATGCAAGTTGATCATGTCACTTCTCTCCTCAGTGGCTTCCAGTATTCGAGTTACCTTCAAAGTTGTTATTGTGACTTACGATGTCCTGTGTGTTGAGGTGGATTTACCATGAACCTAAAGCACCTTAAAATTCTGGTCTCTCAGTTACAAAGTCCTGTTCCAAGGCTTTGGATGGAATTCTAGTAATTTTGTATTTATAACTTTTCTATTTCTTTCCTCAACCCTGCCAATTTGTTTACTCTTCAGGCCCCACACCTGGATTCTAACTACATGACTTAGCCTCCCACCACCACTCTGACTTCATCTCCTGCTACCCTCTCTCCCTCCCTCACTGTACTTGTACTTGTACAGGCTGGTCATGGAGCATGTTAAGCAGGTCCTAGAACCGTTGTAGCTCCAGTGAAGAGGTACTCACATATTTTATAAATGAATAAACAAATAGATAAACAAATCCATGTTGAGGCAAGGTTGAGAGGCCTCATCCTTTCGAGTTATTAATGTGGAACAAGAACAAGAGTCTCCTCTTAGCTGGCAGCTTTTTCTCCACGTATTCCATGCCCAACCCCACCCAGAACATAAAGCAGGGGTAACATGTCTCACACTGTATTCGTGTCCCTTCCTCCCCTGAGCTACCACAAGGTGGAAAACAGAAAGAGCAGGTTTTTTGATCTATGGGCCCTATACCATACATGTTCTCTGTCCAGCTGAAAGCTATGACTGAGTTCACCAGGCTGGTAGTGGATACACTAAAGAAACAGCAATCACCCAGAAATTTCTTTCACTTTCCTCTTGCACAATCAGATTTTAAAAGTCACAGCCTAAATATTACCTTGGCCTTTCTATTTGCCCTCTCACCATCCCCCCCCCCAAAAAAAAAACAAAAAAAAAAAACTAAGGGATACTCATCAGACAATCTCAATTTGCTGAAAGACATGCAAAATCATTAAAAACCACAGCAGTGGAAAAATTAGCTCACTGAAAATTCTGGCCAGTTTTACACTAAGAATAACAGTACTGGTTCTCTTTCTTTTACCATAGTCTGTATCTTAGTTACTAATATCTCAAGTTCTCCAACCGTTATACCTCTCTCAAAACACAAAGTTTAGCTATTAATCTATTAATGTCAAAAACATCCTTTTCATTCTGTACTTCTCAGTTGTTGGAATCTCCTTTTGCTGTGCTCAAAGACATCTCCAACATAAAATTTTAAACACCAACATCACAACTGTACACCCCTTTGTCCATGCATCTTCTTGTTTTCTCTATCCAGCATCCATTCATTTAACTTCTCACAACAGTCCCCAATTTTTCTTTGGGTACCTACCTCCCTTCATTCTTAGCCTACAGTTCATTGCATTGACCTGACCCCATGAGCATAGTGGGTCCGGCTGATTACAGCTCTGCCTCCAATAATACCAATTAGCTGAGGCCAAACAAAACAGTAATCAGACCTTCTATCAGAACCTTACTTTGAACTACTGGGGGAGATGACTTCCAACATCCACTGGATTGGTGTCAACTAAGGCCTAAATCTTTTAACAAGGGCTTAGCAGAGACCTTTATAAGCTTGCTCCTGGTTACCTCCCCAGCATCATGTCATCTTGACATCTCCTGGCATCCCAGGCTTTTTCGTAAATACTTTTAGTTCCCTACGTGGTTTAAGCCCTGCCCCATCTCCAGGTGTTTGCACACGCTCTTGCTTCCATCTGGAATTCTTTTTATCCTCTCCCCTTTCCCTGACTAACTCCTACTCATCTTTTGGGTCCGAAACAATGAGGTTTTATTTTTTTCACAGAAGCCTTCTCAGACTTCCATGTCTGAGCTGGTTTTCCTATGAGGCCCCAAATCAGTTTCTGAATGAACTCTGCCTTACACACCTGTTTGTGAACAGAACAGTAATTTTGGCACTAACAATTCAACTGTTTACACAACAGCTATATTCATAACATCAGTTGCTGTAAAGAATGTGAAAATGTAACCTTTTGCTTTAAGGAACATAAACACACAATCTTAAAACTAATAGGAAAGATAGCAGAGACATAGAATAAATTTTAAAACAATGCAAGGTAGTGTAAATTATATGCAGAATAAATAATGTATCCCCTAAATTGTTAGATAGTCTTTGGCCAGTTATTCTAAAGCCTGCACTCTTAATCTTACAAAATTATGAGCAGGTACCTTAATCACAAGAGAATGAATAAGGTGCTAATTATAAAACAATCAAATAGAAACTTTTAGTAAAGCCAGAGTCTGTAATAAGGTATAATTGGTAAAAGAGCTAAAAACTAATGACTCCATTCACATTTTAATCTCTATAAGTGAAGAGCACTTTAAGTATGTAAATAAACTAACTCATTTAGAGCAAAGGATTTTTTAATTTGAGGAGACATCTCTTACTGTGGAAGGAAAAGATTAAGGAGAAATTCCTTACGGACAACGTAAGCGGATGAGACAAGCCAAAGGCAATACAAAGTGGTAGGCAGATCACCGAAGGGCAGGCGCTGCTATCAGGAAGGTTAATGGAGATGTTCCATTCTGGCAGTGGAGGCTTACATAGCTGTCCAGTAAAAACTCACAGAAACGTTTACCAAGTTGCAAAGTGACTAAAAACCATGTACATGAATTTTGAACCAGAAAGTGGACCAATATAAAGCAAAGACAGAAAAATTTTTAATGGAGGTAGAACATAAAAACAGATGTACCATGTATTTCAAAGAAGGGTTAACAGTCTCGGTCCCACCTCCAAAGTTGGCTTGATAAATACATAAACCAGAACAAGTTGACATGGGCAGAAAAAAAATTAGAATTTCTAGCAACATTCTAAACTCTTTATGAAAAGAATGATTAACAGCTAATTAACTAGGCCATTAACTGATTGCCTTTTTAGTGATTAAAAATATGTATGTTAATTTTACCAAAAAATGGAGGTAATTTAAGAATCGAAAAGAAGGATACTACCTTTAACATTTTAGTAGATAAATGTTGTGGAAAAAATATATTGTAAATACAAGAAAACTAAATCCCATAGCTTTCTACTTGTTATTATTTGTAGTTTTTATATAAATCTTTAGTATGAAATTTTTTTAAACCAAAGATCCTGGCTTCTCTTGAACCATTTTCTTTCTGATAATGAACACTGACTGTGAATGCAAAACCCTGCATATCATTATGTGAAACATTTATGCATTCAGAATGTCTACTTGGTGGATTTCTTCTTTAAGAAGCTAAACAATTCATTAAACAAGCTGCTCCTGAATGGTAGATCAGAACAAGCATACGCTGCCTTCTGTAGAATTCTATTGTGAAGCTATACCCATTTGTGTTTTCTTTGAAACCATAAAAATAAAACCCTTATGCTCATATTAAAAGCATAAGAAAGGCATCTATTATGTCAATAGATTTAAAACACGGCCTTAGACACAGTGAGAACCACTCCAAAATGGCACTCTTATAATAGCAAAGGTTAAGAAGTGCACTCCCAGGAAAACCTTCAAAGGCCTACATATCATTATATCCCCAAACAGATGGCATCTCAGTGCTTGCACTATAGTTTTTGGACACCTACAATCTCAAGTAAATCCTTTCTAAGCCCAAATCAATCCTTTCTAAGCCTACTCTTTTGTCTCGAGTTTGTACTTTGATGGTAACTGCAAGTGCCTTTCTCCATTCTTTATAAACAACACACAATGATAGGGTGAAGATTCGTGTACATATGTGGACACAACTCTTAACATGATTTCTCTGCAATGAACAAGTATTTTACTAGCAACAAACTCATACTTTAAAGATATCTATAATTCCTACGTTCTAATCTATTACAAGTCTTCAATAGCCTCAATCTTAGAGGAAAAATGATGAAAACATACCTCTCTCATATATTGCTGAAGTATAAATAAATTGATAAAAACAACTTTGCAAAACAATGGGGAATTACCTAGTATCTATGTGTATACTCGGGAGAAACACTCAAACACAGGATATGGGGACAAGAATATCCTTAGCAACATTGTTCACAATAGTGAAAAACTGCAAACAACCCAAAAGTTTAACAAGAAAGTAGGAAGATGAATGGTGATATACTCAAATATTGTACAGCAACAAAAATGAAGAGCTGCTACATGCACCAAAATAGATGAACCTCAGTCACCAAGCAGAGCAAAATGCTAAGTCACATAAAACTACATACAACATTTCCTTTACATAAAGTTAGAAGCATGCGAAACTGGACATGTTATGTTTCTTAGGTTCAGTTTTTCTAGTTATCTAAAATTCTGCTGAGAAAAATTAAATCATACTAGTGTGACTAACACACTGAAGTAATAACTTCCTATGTATATTTGTTACAAATCTCATATACTGAATGTTGTGGATTTAAATTCAGTCTGCTACAACAAAATTGCATACAGACTGAGATGATTCTTAACGAGTCAAGAAAATTTGTTTAAAATATCATATACTTCAATATTTAAAGAAAATTGGCAAGTTCTAACCTATAAAAAGATTTAAATAGTATCATAATTTAACCAAAATAATTGTACTCCATAGTTTACCTGAAACATCACAAGGCTTATGAGAATGCAGAAAATAGTTCCTCTTTAATTCCTGTCTGTATATAAGATGTGGCTTGTTATGATCATCTTCATGTTCACTCCCATCTGCCTTCATTATAGGTTCTAAGAAATATTCACCATCGTGTGCTTTAAATGTTCCCATCTGAAAATTTAAAAAAATAAAAATTAACTTTTTTGTTTCATCACTAAGAGAAAGTACACTGTACCTCAGGGTTAAAATGAACACACAGGAGCAAGACAGCCAGGAGTCAGTCTGCTCACTGAATGTCATCAACGGAACATCAAGTTTCCTTTCCGGGGCTTACCTTTCTCTCTCAGCTCTTACAGAGTCATGAATACTGGACAGTGTTTCAATGGGCAGAGATGGAATGACAGGCATTCCAGGCATAAAGGATGGCACAGGCAAGAGCAGCAACATGACAAAAAAAGCCTAGCACATTCTAGACGTAAAATAACCTGTTTGGCTTGGTCTGTATAAGGTAGTAGTGAGAGACAAGACATAAACAGTAGGCTGGGGTCAGAAAAAAGATGTTAAATGTGGTGCTAACAATTTAGAATTTGTAAGCAATGGGGAGCCATTGAAGAGGTTTCACAAAAACATGTCTTCTTAATTCCACTTCCGATATCCAATTTACTCCTTGATATCTCCACTTAGATAACAAGTAGCATTCACAGGCGTAACACATCCAAAGCCAAACTCTTGATTTCTGGTTCAAACCTACTGTTCCTGAAAAGCTCTCCATTTCAGTACATGGCAGCATTATTATTCAGATTGCTCAGGCCAAAAATCCTTAGCGATAAATCGAGATCCCATATTCAATGCACCTTCAAATCCTGACTGCTCAACCTTTAAGGTACAAATGAAATCCAATCACTTCTTTTAAATTTTACCACTACACCCATGATCTCCTTCCTGAACTAAACCAACTGCCCTTTATTGTCTAGTCTCTACAAAAGAGTCACAGTAATTTCTCTTAAGTTTATATCATGTTCCTCTAAAAAAAAAAAAAAAAAGCTCTAATGATTTTTTATATCACACAGTAAAATACAAAGTTCTTAAAACAGTCTACAAGGATCGGTGAGATTTGCCCATCCCTTTTCACCACCCGTCCCTGCAAGCACACAGATGACCAGTAGTTCTGACTTCTTCCATGTGCACCTTCTACACCTTCACTCCTAGCGTCTTTGCTATTCCTCCAATGTGACAAGTATACTCTCACCTCAACACCTTTGTACTTGCTAAACCTTCTGCCTCTCAAGTACTTCTCCTTGAGGGCTCTCTGCTATGATTCCTATCTGCACGTGACATTCATCACCCTATCTAAAATGGCATCCTATCACCCTGGCCAGTTTGGTTCAGCAGTTAGAGCATCGGCCTGTGGACCAGAGAGTCCCAGGTTTGGTTCCCGCTAAGGGCACATATCTTGGTTGCAGTTTGTCCCCAGTCCCGGATCATGTGGGTAGCAGCCACTCGATGTGTGTCTCTCATGTCAATGTTTCTCTCTCTCTTTCCCCCTCTCTCCCTCCTGCCCTGTCTGAAGGTAAATGCAAAAGTGTCCTTGGGTGAAGATAAAAAAATTAAATGGCACCCTATCTTTATCTCTTTAATCCAGTTTCACTTTTCTTCATAGCACTTATCGCTACTGGATGTGTTCTCATTTACGACTATTCGTTGGTCTGATACTAGCCACTAAAATGCAAGCTCCGTGAGAGTCGAGCTTGGCCTGCACCGCTCTCTGCATGCCTCTCCTGCCTGCCTTGTACCAGATGTTGGATAACAGAGTAGACGAATAAAATGGTAAGGTATGAAATTTAATCTAGTAACATCATGTGTTATATATGGTAGGGGGAAAAACACTAACAGTTGTTAAGACAGAGGCTCTAACCCAAAAGAGAGGTAACAAAACTGGAATTATGTTGACAGTGATGGGAGGACACTTGGAACAAAAAAGGTACAAGATGCCAATGCCTGAGGAAAGCAGTGAGAGAGAGAACTTATGATAAAGATAATTTCCTGGGAAAATATAATTTACCAAAATAACTCCAGACATGTTAAAAATATCAACAGACCTCTTCTCTACCAAACAACAGAAAAGGTTATCAGAGTTATAGCACAAAACCTCCTGGTGATTTCACAGGGAAATTCCACCAAACCTTGAAAGACCAGATAATTCCACTGTTATTTCAACTGTTCCAAAATATTTAAAAAAAAAATAAAACATTCAAGTTATTTTTGAGGCTTGTGTGAAATTACAGCAAAACGTGAGAAAGACGGCACCAAAATTAAACAAAAAATATCTAGGACAAGCTCATATATAAGTATTAAGATAAAAGTCCTAAATTGTATTAGCAAACAAAATTCAGCAATGCATGAAAAGAATACTGCATGGTGAGATGGAGTTTATCATAAGAATGTAAGTATGCTTCAGTATTGGAAATCTATTAACATAATGCATTATAATCAGTTATATAAATATAAAAATCACATCGCTTTTGAAAAAATTCAAAACGCCATGATTTTAAAAATATCAATAAAATATAATTAGGTGGATGCTTCCTTAACAAGATAAATCATATCACAGCCCCAAGACAGTACCAAGAAAACAAAGATAACATGCAAGGCATTCACACTTAGGTCAGAAATACAAGGATGCCTAGTATCACCTATACTAAAAAGAATTAGATAAAAGAGATTAGAAATATTAAAATATTGGACAAGAAGAGTTAAAAACTGTCATCTTCATAAATGATATCAGTATATAACTTAAAACATAAAAACTAACTGAAAACTACTATAAACACTAAGGGATTCAATGGCTTCAATAGTTTTCACATATAAAAAACAACAACTAAGGCCCGATGGTGTGGCTCAGTGGACTGAGCATCATCCCATGGACGGAGAGGTCCCAGTTCAATTCCTGGTCAGGGCACATGCCTGGGTTGTGGGCTCAATCCCCAGTAGGGGGCATACAGGAGGCAGCAGATGGATCTTTCTCACATGGATGTTTTTCTCTCTCCCTTTCTCTCCTAAAAAAAAAAAAAAAAAAAAACCTATTAAAAAAAAAAACAGTTAAAAAACAAATAAAACTAAAAAATATTATGGAAGAAAAAAATCCCATTTGTAAATAAAAAGATTAAAAGCCCAGGAATAAATAAAAATGTTTAAAGTCTCTGTAAATGTTAAAGCACTACTAGTGAACTAGAAAAGAAAACAAACAAGTGGAATCACTTGCCATGTTCTTGAACAGCAGGCATCCCCAAATGAATCTATAAACATGAGATCCCAATTTAAATAAAATACCAACAGATTTTTAATATATGCACTGCTTCTAAAATTCATATGGAAAAATAGCCAGATAACTTTAAGAAAACAATGAGGCAGGACTAGGACTGCCAGTTATTGAGCTGTTAACCATGTTGGTTAAATGCTCCAAAGCCGGCATAAGCAGACCAGAAACCAATGAACTGAATAGAAAGGCAAACAATAAGTCTTAAATCATAAAAGATTTATTATTACATATAGACAGCATCTCAAATCAATGATGAAAGAAACTATTTAATTAATAGTATGGCAACAAGTAGACAGACATCTGGAAAAAATAATTTAGATACATCCCACAGAATAAGTTCTAAAGGATCGATGATGTAAACTTTTTTAGAGTTTTTAGTAAATTTATTGGGGTGACATTGGTTAATAAAATTATATAGGTTTCAGGTGTACAATTCTATAATACAGCATCTGTACGTCGTATTGTGTGTTCACCACCCCAAGTCATCTCCTTCCATCACCATGTGTCCCCCCTTTACCCTCTTCTACCTCCCCCCTACCCCAATGATGTAAACTTTTGAAATAAAATCACAACAGCTCTACAAGATAACATGAGAGAAGTTTTTATAACTTTGGAGTAGGACATGTCATTCTAACCATGACTGAATGATGATTAAAAAAAAAAAAAGTTAAACTTCCCTCAGGAAGAACAGAAATTAATACTACACTGAGAAACCATTTTCATCTGTAAGACTGGAAAATTCTACCTATTGTTTTGTTTTGTTTTTCTGGTTAATCCTCACCCAAGGATAGTTTTCCATTGATTTTAGAGGGAGAGGGGGAGAGACATTGATGTGAGAGAGACACATCAACTGGTTGCCTCCCACACGACCCCAACTGGGGCCAAAGATTGAACCTGCAACCCAGGTATGTGTCCTTGAGCATGAATCAAACTGATGATCCTTCAGTCCATGGGCTGACACTCTAACCACTGAGCCAAAATGGCCAAGGCTGGAAAAATCTACCTTCTATAACATACTTCAATGTGTGTCTCGAAAAACAGGCACTCTCATACGTTGCTGCTGAAAATGTAAATTAGTGCAATCACAATGCAAAGTACTTTGCCAATATCTATCACAGTTAAATGTATTTGCCCTTTGACACAGCAATTCCCCTCTGAGAATTTGTCCTATGTATATTATACATTTGCACACATGTGAAATAACATTTACAGATGTATTAACTATAGCATTCATTTTAGTAGCAAAATATTGGAACCAATTCAAAAGTCCATTGATAGGGTCTATTTACATAGACTATTGGTATAGCCATACACTAGAGTAATTTGTGATTATAGAGAATAAACATTAAAGAGAAGAAACATTCTAGATAGTGATATAGAAAGATCTCCAGTGCAATTATTTATTTTATTTTTTTAATCCTCACCCGAGGACATTTTTCGATATTTTGTTCAGATAGAGTGGGAGGGAGAAAGAGAGAGAGAAACATCGATGTGAAAGGAATACATCGAGTGGCCACCACCCGCACAACCCAACCAGGGCCGGGGACAAACTGCAACCGAGGCACGCCCCCTTAGCGGGAACCGAACCCAGATCTCTCCAGACCTCAGGTCAACACTCTAACGGTTGAGTCAAACCGGCCAGGGCTCCAATGCAATTATTAAACCCAAATATAACACTATGAAACAGGATGTCTAGTTCACTACCACTTGTGTAACAAAGGAAGAAAAAAACTAAATATTTCTATTTGCCTGGTTGCTACTAAAGAAATTTGAGAAGGATTCGAAACAGTACAATTGGAAGTACAAGAAAGTAGTAGGTGGATTCAGGAATGAGTAGGGATAGCATCCTTCA